CCGAGCTTTTTCAGTCATCCTTGGCTACACATCCATGTTTTCATTCATGTTATGCCAGCAATATATTTTATTTATTTTCCAATACTTTGGAGTCGCTTTATTACTGTAGTCTCCTATGCTTTCCATGTCACAGAATTGCCCTCATATCTATAAAATAAGTCATTTTATTGCTTGTGAATCTAATCGCCTGGCTACCAAGTATTACTTTGCTCTGAGATGATAAGTCTATCTCAGGAAGAAGTCCTGACGCGCCGGTGGTAGTTGCTCTGAGTCGAGTGATGGATTGTATCTGGCACCAGTGAAAAAGTGTATGATCAACTGGTGATATCTGTTATGAATTTTGCAAAAGAGATAGGTGGCATCTATGTCCCATTAATTGCACTGTTGGCATAGATCTTCCTGGTTAGTGGTATCTGTCCAGGGATTCTACTGGACTTTTGTAGGTATATTCTCAAATGAAAGGATTTTAGGACAGCACAGGCCGGAGTGTATTGAATGCTTCTGTGTTGGTGGAACTCTTGTGGGGAGGGGCAGAGGCCTGCCAGGTTTCCCTTCATTACTGCAGCTCATTTAGGTTTATTTGCTCATGCTCACAGATGGCATGGGCGCCCTAGTGTCATAAATTACCTTTAGTTTTAAGAAGCAGTTTTAAGAAGTTGCTTAATTTTTAGAGCTTGTGCACAGTAAAAGTACCTTGTTTCTGGGTAGATTTTTATTTCCTGTTCTACTCTACTATAGTTTTTGGTGGTCTTTATACAGATTTCTCTGCCAGTTCAGTGCCAGCAACTAACTCTGTGTAAACTTTTATCAATGTATCCATACTATCCCTAAACACATTTTAATTTTTTTGAAAATTAAGCATTTCAAAAGCTTAAGTTTTTGGCTAGAGTTCTGTTCTCAGGCAGAGGTTTATCCAGTTCTTTAGAAATAGTCATTTCATTGTTATGACCCTAATCATTTGGATTGTTTTCTTATATATATTAATTTCTTTTTTCCCATAAGTGTTTTATGAGAGCCATTGATAGATGCCTGGTAAAATTTGGATTAACTAAAATGGAAAACTTGTGAAATCATAGGTAGAAAAGAACTTTGGATTCATCTTGTCAAATCCACTTAAAGAGAGAAGTGGGGGTTGGAGGGAGAGGAGGAAAACAAGCAGATGATTGTCAAGTTCACACGCTTAGTGCTGGAAGCAACACAAGATTATTACAGGTACAGTGCTCAACCTGATTGCCATCAGATTCTGTGAGGTTGACTGGTTGGTGTGATTATTCCTATTTACAGACATGTAAACTGAGGCTTGGAGAGATTTGCTGGTACTCCTTAAATTGCACAATAAATGAGAGGCAGAGTTGGGTTAGATATTTTTAGTAACAAGTATTTTTTCCAAGAACAAATTTTTTTTGGATAAGACATTTAAAGAGCATACCAGTGTCATATGGCCCCCATGAGCTTAGAGTTTGGAGTGTACCTGTAATGATCTAATCTCATGCTTGTTTTCCAACGAGACTTCATAGAAAGGCTATTCGAGGAAACTGAGGTAACCAGTGGGGGTGAGTCGGGGTTGGCCACCAGAGCAACCTTAATTCAGAGAGCTTGGCGTCTGTGCTGTAGCAGTTGAGCAACCAGCAACAAGTGCTATGAGCCAAGGGTAGTCCCAAGAATGTTACACAAACTCATTGAGTACAAGGGAGACGGAAGGATGCTAGAAGCAAGGAAAGAGGTGGTCAGAGACAAAGAATGTCACCCCAGACTCTGTAACTGTGTTGCAGCAGCTGTGTGTGTGTGTGAGTGTGTGTGTGTGTGTGTGTGTGTGTGTGTGTGCATTGTCAAATGTATTAACACATTCTAAAGGACATCTATTGATGCATATTTGTTCTCAGTAGCTTGAGGTTTCTCTACGGTGTTAACTTAGCAATTACACACTTTTTGTGCCTAACATTATGCTTGGCACATACTGGGCATTCCATAAATGTCCACTAAATGCAATAAACAGGAAGGCAGATATGATTTAGGTTGATACCCAGGGTACTCTAGTTTAAGACACTCAGAAATCACAAAGCAGGCCTCAATTCGGAGATGCTGAGGGCAGGTCCTCCATTACTTTGGTTTGACAGTGGATTCTACAATACATTCCATTGGGTGGGATGACTAAAAGAGTGTGGTGAAGCCCAGTGATACAGGCATTTATCATTATTATATGTAAATGAAATATCGATCTGCATGACAGTGGAAACCCCCTCCCCACTGTCCATCCTCACGTTTTCAGAAAATTCAGAGACTCACACATTAGAGATGCTGTAGAGACACATGCATTGGCTGTCAGGGTACAGTAGATGACCTCAAACTTTTGCTTTCTTCCAACTCAGATCATAAAAGGTGACTGTATAGTAGAGATTGCCTAGATACGGTAGAGTGATTTAGTTACTCATTACGTATGCAGGAGGAACTGTCAAGTATATCTTTCCATGACGCTATGAAATATTAGGCCAGACACGCCCTCCCATCTCCTCACATTGGCTCCTCTGTACTTTTCCCACTTTGCTATCTGCTACCTGCCTGGCCTCTTTCTAGCCCACCTTTCTACATGACTATGTTTATCTTGTTGTGAAGTCTTTTTGTGAATGCTTTCTTCTTCTTTTCTACTAAGGAAATCTCTCTTCTACACAATCTCTTTTACATTAAAAACGAATCTTCCTTTGACCCATCTGCCCTTTCCAATTTCCATTTGTCTCCTCAAATATTACAATAGATAGTTTCATCTTGTCTTAATTTTTGACCTTCTGTTCTTACTACTTCATTGAATCTGCAGTTTGAGGGTCAGTAATTATTTCACTGTGGCCAAATTTAAATGACTTTTCTCAAGGCTCATCCCTTCTGAACTCTCCGCTGTATGACATTTGTAAAAGCACCTCCCATTCTCCCCTCATCCTGCCTCCCCCCCTGACACAGCATAATATTCTTGTTCAATGATTTAGTCACATCTGGATTTGCAATGCCTTCCCTTTCCTGGTCACTCTTTACCTCTTTCATTAGTTTCTCTCCTTTCTCTCATTTAATGTTCAGGTACAGCTATCCTTGACATCTACTTTGCAAACCTCACACATCCATGGTTACAACCCCTTCTTGCTTTGATGAAGAAGCAGCTTAAATTTACATTTCCAGCTTCTGCTCTTCTCTCTTTGATTGCTTCCGCCATAAGCCTCCCCTGGAGAGTTCATTGGCAACTGAATGGAATGTTCCAAATAAACTCACCATAGTTATCTCCTGCTTTCCCCTCTTGAACAGCCAGTTAGCATCCATGAACACTCTCTTGGGAGGTTCCCCACAAAGGAGTCCTTTTTGATTCTGGCACCTACCTGCTATGACACAGCACCCCAGAAGCATTTGATCTTTGCACATTGGCAGGAACTACCTTCGTCCACATCCTGGCTGCTCCAATACCGGGATCAGAACATGCACCTTCAGGCGCAGGGCCGCACTGCATAACTTCCCCTTCTACAAGCCACCCATGCCTTGTTTAAGGGCCTGGGTGAGTGATTTCTCGCTGAGCACCAGGCTCTCTGCACTCTGCCAGTCTCCTTTCTGACCTGTCCCACAAGAAGCTGCTGAGGGCCAGCCCAGCCAGTCTGCCTCCTGCTCCACACCACCTGTGCTCACTTCCCCTGCTGCCGAGGCGTTGCATCCATTGCTGAAGTTGCCAATAGCAAAATGAGTGCTTCAACATTAGGGACTTATTCTCTCACAGCTTGGAGATTGCAAATCCAAAATCAAGGTTTGGCATATTTGGTTCCTTCTAAGATCTGTCTCCTCGACTTGCAGATGCCCACCTTCTGCTGTGGCCTCATGTGGTCCTGCCTCTGTAAATGTGTGTCCACATTTTCTTTCTCATAAGGTCATTAGGGATATTAGAGTGGGGCTTATTGCAATGACATCATTTTACCTTGGTTATCTCGCTTAGGGCCACTTACAGTCACGTACCAAGGTCCCAGGGGTGCTGGACTTCAACACAATAGATTTTTTTTTAGATTTTTCACCCATAACACACCTTCCCAACTTCCCATACATCTTTTTCTTCTTCTCCCTCTCCATTCATTTCTTCTTTCTGCTTTTCCCTTGCCACCATCAAACACTGTAGATCCGCACTTCACTGTCTGCATGGAAGACCTCCTTGGCTTCAGTTTGGGTTTGCATCCCCAGATGTGAGACCTTACCATCCAGCTTCCTCCTTAGGTCCTTCTCAGTGGTGTCCCTGCCTCTGGCTCCACTGAGAGCAGAGGCTCTGTCTCTTTTCCTTTATACATAACTCTTGATCGGAGAGTCATCATTAATTTAACTTCAGTTACCCCTCCGAAGAAGTCTAGTTCAGCCCCTCCACTACCTTCTTGGAAAGCCTTCCTGGCTGTGAAGGAGAAGACTAGCACTTTTCTCTGTTGACAGCAAGGTGCAGGAGGGCTCAGTGTCCACACCAGTGATGCTCAGCTGGCTCACTTCCTCCTCCCAAACGGAAAGGCAATGAACAGGGTCCAGGAAGCTCTAAAACTAGCTATGAATTTGTAGATTTTCTTCTAACACCATCAGGAGTTTGGGAGAAAGTGCCAGTCTTTGACCTAAGGTGTTGAAAATTCTAGATAAACCCATTTCTTCCCAGGGTGAGATGCTCACTGTGTCAGGAGAAGAGCTGATCCTTTGGAGAGTCTTAGCGGCTCCCACAGGAAAAGAACTGGGTGTCATGACCCTAGAAATGTCTGTTGGCTGGGCTGTGAGTGGTTTTCTGGGAGGACTCCTGTGTGAGGTGCTTGCAGATGGAAGACTGTTGTCAGCTTTCCTGCCTAGAGCATGGGAGAGATATGTGCCCGCCGTGGTCAGGAGGGATACCCCTTCAGTTAAAGATGCACCGCCCCTTTCTCCTCCTTCCTCCATCCTCAAGCACACCCTTTCTTTCCCTTCACCCCTTTTCTTCTCTCTCCCCTCTTGCTCTCTGCCCCATTTACTGTCAGGAAGGGCCATGCCAGAAGGGCCCAGTCAGCGTGTCATGGCAGCGGCAGAGGCTAGCAGCAGCGACAACTTTCACAGTGAGTCTGGATTTCATTTCTGGGGCCAAGGCTGGGCAGAGCTGTTCCTGTACAGACTGACAGCTTGCAGGCTTTGGAGAGGAACTTCCATGGGCTGAGGGCTGCTCCAACGGCCTTCTGCCTCCCAGTATGGGGGTATCATTTCCTTTCAATGGAAGTTTCCTGCCAAAGCCACAGATGTGCTTGGGATGTCTCACAGGGAAGCAGCATGGTGGGGTGGCGGGGCCATGACCTGCTAAAGTCTGGTGCACAGTGGGGATGGCTGCCAGGATTGAGGGGGCTGCAGGGCTTGTGTGCAGGTCTACATGTTGGTGGAGGCTGGAGGCATTGCATGGGTGGTGGTTTGGCTGCTTTCATGCCTTGCAGGAGATGTGGCCTTGAGTTGTGTGAATACTTTGGTTCCTCCCTTTGAAGATCTAAGGTCATCCTTAACACATAGCTCAGGGCATCTGAAGGTAGGCCTTCCTCTTAACTTCTGACAAAATGAGAACAGTTGTTACTAGCTTCAGTGACTGGGTCATATCCACCAGCATTTAGGGGCAGATTTTTTTTCCCCTCCATACTTTGATTTCTGTGGTGATTTCTGGCATGGTGGTGGTTACGGTTCCATCTGTCCTTCCTTGATCTGAAGGTTGAATTGGATGGCTTCCATTCATCTTTTCCCTAGGGTTCTTTTCCTTCTGCTTTGGGACTGATTCACTTGCAAAAACACATCCAGAAAGTACCTGGCCTTACAACTCCAGTCCATGTCCTGCTTGTGATCTTGAGGTGCTTTCCCACTGACCAGATGTGTTTCCAAATACTGACGCAATGCGCTTTTGAGTCAGTTTACAAGAGAAAAGCCTCAGCTTCTTAGTATGAGGCATTACCCTGATCCTAGGGGTGCTCAGGGATGCTCTTACAATTGCATTTATTTCTCTCCTGATTTGGTTAGGGAAGTAAATTAAGCATAGCTTCCCAGATTCTCTTAGGGCCACAGTTACACAGGCTTCTCATCTTGACACTGCTACTAATAAGGGCTTCTGCTTAGGAGTTTTCAGGGCTTTGTTTGGCTAGAGCTATCAAAACAAGCATGTTTGCCAGCCTTGGGAGAGTTTTACAAGCAGGATCGTATTAAGTTCTTCTCATGCTTATAAAATAAATATGTGTACTCCAATCCCATTAGAGCCAAACCTCTCAGTTTCTGGACTTGACAAGTTTTATTTAAAGTATCAGATTGGTCAAATTTATTAATTCAATTAAGCAAGTAATTTATTACAAATTATGCATGTGCATTGGATTGTCTAAACTTAGATACTTCTGAGAATGAAAAAGGAAGGTATTAATAATTAAATAGGAGCTAAGGACATACATTTAGACCTTCCCTGGTAAATTGGGGCACACAGACACTTCTCTATGTATCTTGAGCTATTCTAGGTGCCAGCAATACAACTGTGAATAAAACAGATAAAAATCTTTGCCTCTAATAAGGGAAACAGAAGATAAAGATAAACTAGGAAACACAGGAAGTTAGGAAGTGATAGATCTTTAGAAGAAACATAAAGCAAAGAGGATAAAAATAGGTGCTTGATGAAGGCAGTCGTGGTGACAGTGGTGCGGCTGGTGGTGGCAGTGAGTGTGTGCACAGGCAGGTGGGTGGCTGCCCTGTTAGATAAGGGTTCAAAGCGATTAAGTTGCTTTAAAAAGATGATATAATTTAGTTCCCACTTAATTTATCCAACGAGCTTCGTGGATCAGATAAGACTTTCCAAAGCAAATCAGAACTAAAACATCTGAGTCCAGATGAAGCTTCAGCTTGAGAAAAAGCAAAGAGGCAGAGCTAGGTGGCTTTGGCTTTGGGACCATCCTTTGGGTTTAGCACAATTTCCTGTCCTGCTGTTATTCTTTGAGAGGCATCAGAAAGCGAATAAGGCTGGATTCAGTGATTTAAACAAAATGTCCCCATCTGTGACCTGCACTGGCTGTTCAGGATATCTCTAGGTCCTTCCGTTCTTGGGGATAGTATGTCCTTGGTGGTGGCAGGGGCATCTTACATTTGCTGAGCATCTACTCCCATTACTTTGCTAGAGGCTTAATTAATTAACTTAATTAATTTAATCTGCACTGTTCCTATGAAAAAGTTATCATGTTCCCACTTTAAGGGTGAGAGGACTGCTGTTTAAACACAAAACTAGACAATAGAGAAGGCAAGATTTAAGCTGGAAATTCTGCCTTTATCAGTTAATCTCAGCATCCATCCCTAAGCAGCAATGGCAGGAATGAGGAAGGAAAAGAGAGGCAGGACTCCCTGCACTGTCCCGAGAGGTCCTGTGTATGGGCTCATATGCATGGCTGGCTCCCGAGCAGAAGGTGCGCTGGGGTGGTCGTCCGTCTTTGCTGACTGTGCATGAAGACAGTGAGTTCTGCTGCTTCTCTGTGTCATTGCCACTGGGAATGTGGATGGGCATGGCAGTTCTCTGGGGCATGAGAGCAAGTCTTCTATGCTCATGTCTATCGTAAGCAAGAGCTGTAAGGAGCGCCACTGCATGGTGTGTGGGTCCCAGTAGTGGTGACGGGGTAAAAGCATGCAAAGTTCTGACACTGGTGACAGGATTTATGACAGCGCTTTGAATGAAGAGTTGAATTTGAAAATAATTCCTAGTTTTTGTCTGCCTTGATCAATGGAATCCATAGACTGACTCCATCCAGTCTGGAAGGCTATTAGCAAGAAGCAGGCAGGATGTCTCTGGACCACGTCTCAGATATCATGGTTATGTTTAACATCAGCATGACTGTTTAGCTTTGTGTTTATTTGTAGTGTCCTTCTCTATACTTCGCAGAAAAAAATAGGTAACATCTTGTTTCATGCACAAAGTGGGCTCCTAAGAAGGTTAATAGCAAGCAAATCACCATTTAGATGCATAAGATGTCTGCTACAACAAAATAAAGGATTATTTTGGGACATCGACAATGTTTCCCTAGTTCCTAAAGGAGGATCTTCCAACACACAATGCTATTATTTCCTTGGGATTCTAGCACGCATTTATCTTAGGTCTCACTGCACATCAGAGTAATGTCTTGTGCAGCTTCACAAAAAAAGAGAAAAGTTACTACCCTTCTCGTTTGTCAAGGATTTTATTTGCCATCACAATGTCAGCATCACAGGATAATCCTGCTGGTACTTGAATATTCCTTGAATACTTGATCTTCTCACCACTGGGTTATGCTTACCTCACCAAGCACTGTTCTTCAGTTTGTGGACTCTTTCCTGGTTTCTGCCCTCACTTTAATACTCAGCACTGAAGGAGCAAAGTTGCATTGTCTTCCTCTATAGGTTATGCCTCTCTGACATTTTTTTCTGAATCTCTTACCTGATAAAAGTAAACAAGTGAGCTAATTACCTTTACTCCTCAAATCCTAACCCATCTCGATATCAGCTGGCTTCTCTGTTCTACAGCTGTGTGCTCTGTGGAGTCTCACTTGGAAAGTGGGGTAAAGACTAGAAATGTCTAGGTACATTTCTAGCTGACAAAGCTGTTCCTCCTTTTTCCAGTTGCCAATGGCTAACTTTGCCACTCACAAATACAGAGGATGTTTAATTCTAGGAAAGGTTTAGTTCCAGCTAGAAAGAGCATCTCAAGCTTTAGATATGAGTCTAAGAGGAAAGGGTCACAGGTATGCTTCAGTCCAGCAGCTCACCTGGAGATGGCTCTTCTTATAGATCAGCAAGCTGGGAGCCTGGTGGGGCATAATGTTTCCCCACCCAGGAAAATCTCATGTTTTTGAAAGGAAACTGAAAACACATACCTGTCTCTGCACCCCCAACGGACATGGGGATGGCTGGGATAAGCTTTGTTCAGCCTTTTGCATGTAAGTATTGTTTTTGACTATTATTGAAGTTTTAAGGCAGGACTGGGTGCCATTTTGTTTTTAAGCTAGGGAGCATTCTAAAGCATGCTAAAACTTTAATGGAATAAAACACCAATATCATTAACAGCCCTGAAATTATAATATGCAGTTATCTAGCTTAGCAATCTCAAATCTTGTGAGTTTCTTGTGGAAATTCAAATTTTGTGATTTGAGATAGTTAAGACTGGTCTTTTGGAGAAAACAAACACATTCTTCTGTAGGAGATGCCTGTTAATTTATATAGTATCTCAAGTCTTTGTAAGCCCAAGATTAGCTGTGTATGCCCAGGACCAGTCTTTTGGGTTTAACCTGGAGATTCATCCAAAATAAGAACTGAAGTATATAATATTTGAGCTCCTAGGTACCTTAGTACTTTTCTGTCTTATGATGTCAACAGTGTTTCAGAGCAGAGCAAGCCCTTTGGTCACAATGATAAGGGTCACCTGGAATAGGGTGGCACTTGGCTCTTTAGAGGAAGGAACTGAGGGGACCATAGGGAAGATGACAGAGGAAAGGAGGGAAATTTTCTGCCTATTCCCTGCAAGATTGTGCCAGGAGAAGTTGCCTTGGCCTTGGGACTAGATTCCACATTCCTTGATCTGGATCTTATCTTCAAAGTTGGTGAAGTCCATTTGCTTTTGCAATTGTTTTTGGGACCAAGACTCACAAAAAGTCCATTTGTTTGGAAGAATTGTGTGCCAGCCTCCTGTCTGAAAATGCTAGTAGGAATGATGTGAGTTCCATTGTCTCTGGCCTGGTGTTTCCCTCTCTTGAGCATTAGTTCATCCCCCAGGTTTTTGCAGCCCCTTCCTTCCCCACACTGTGAGTAGCCCCGAAGAGAGGTAAATGTCTCCTGTGGCTCCAGCCCAGTGCCTCTGGCTGAAGAAGCCCACCACCAGGGCACATGCATCCACACAGGGAGTGCTGTCAATACAGTTGCTGACCTCAGTCACACACTGTGAACCGTGTGCCGAGACGCTCTGTGGCAGCTGAAGTCTTAGTATATGGGTGCTGCCTTACTCCAGGGACAGGAAAATGTCATTGTGTTTGTGTCCTCACTAGGCAGGTTGGTTTTTCTCTGGGTCCGAAGCTCTCTGAATCTTCTTACGTTC